ATGGGCTGAGTGGATTTGGAAGGAACCCAGGCCAGTGTGTTATATATACACGGCCATAAGGATGAGCTGGCACTTGCACCCAGAGCCCCTGACGGTGCTCTGCTCAGAGAGCTCCCATGCAGCCTCAGTGTGTCACTGGCTGGAACAGGCGGAGTCCTTTTCCTAGGAGGCGGGTCACCATTCCCAGACAGAATTGGGGCTAGGGAAGGGGCCTGTGCACAGACGAGAAACGTGCAACCCAAAGGCGGCATATAAAATTTCCCCAAGTCCCAGGGCCACCTAGTGGCAGGGACCAGTCTGGGACTCTCAGCAGTTGTGCACTGCTACCCCACGCCCCCGGACCGCCCTTGTGTGGCATTTTGAGAAGCTTCATCCGTTCAGGCAACTCCCTGCTCTGGACCTCCCAGGGGCTTCCCGAACTGTTCAGGAAAAAAATCCCACCATTCTGCCCACAGCCCACCCAGTCTTATAGGACTGTCTCTCCTGACTGGAAGAAGCGTGGGAGACCAGCTCCCTCTGGTCTAACCAAACTAACCTTTGTGCTGAATCTGCTGAGTCTTTTCCCTGCTGCTGGGCCTTTGCACCTGCCATTCCCTCTGCCTGGAGCCGCCCGCCCCCAGAGAAGCCCGACTCGCCCTGCACTGTGTCCACCTCGCCTCTCTGTCCCCTCTGATGGCATGTTGGGAATGTATTTGCTGGCTCGTGCACCACCTGCCTCCTCTTTCTGGGCCGCACGCAGGCTCTTTGTCACGACACTGTTCCCAGTGCCTAGAACAGCGCCTGCCGTGTGGTGAGTGCCTGATGCAAGGTGGGTGGATCCAGGCATGGAGTGAGCAATCCTAGACTGACTCCTAGCCCGTGACCCCTGCTGATTTGAGTGTGTTGGTGGGCAGAGGTGTCTGGGTGTGACTCCTTGTTCCTTCCCCTCCTGGCTGACCTTGGGTCTGACACTGAGCTAGGCATTGAGGTATCACTGTGCTGCTGCCGAGGGCGTGTCGTGTGCTGGACACGGTGTGGTCTGAGGAGCCGCGTGAGGCTTAGAGCCCCGTCGTGGCTCACCTACAAGTTGAGTCTCACCACCCTGAGCCTCAGTGTTCATTCCTGAAAAATGGGGAGAAGAACAAGTTTGAGGGTGAAACGAAATGAGGTGTGGTGAGCCAAGCCCGCGAGACAGCAGACATGGCTAAAGACAAGTGCCCGCAGCTCTGAGCCCAGGGGTGCTTGGCCCTTCTGCGCTGGCTGACCTGACACGGCAAGCGAGGGTGTGAGGACCCACTAGACGTGTCCCCAGGCTCCTGCTGAGGAGTCGGGTGGAGGGGATAGAGGAAGGGAGGGATACAACAGCAGGGTAGCTGCTGGGAGAGCAGCCGGGCCTGTGAGAGTTGCTACCTACAGCCCACCTCCAGAAAGAAAGTACTTTCTGCAACCTTCACAGCCTTCACCCCAGCGGCCTCCAGAGAGGGAGAACAGGCCCAGCTGCGTCAGGACTCTGTGGGTACCTGTCCCCTGTCCCCTGTGCCTCTTCCTGGAAGTCCCAGGTCCCTCCCCCAACACACACACACACACACACACACACACACACACACAATGTAGAGACACACATGCATACACACACAATACGCATATGCACATATACACCACACACACTGTACACAGACACGTGTACATACACGTATACAGACACACACATGTCTTGGTCTCTGGGGCAGCAGGGCGGGCATAGAACTACCTCCCTTTCCTGTTTGCCTGGAAGACCCCTGAGGTTTCTGCTGTTTATAGACTCCATAGACACAGGCGAAGTTGCATGAATTCTGGGTCCCAAGCAGAGCATGCCGGCTCCCAGCTGGGGCTAGGGGTAGGGTGCTTGGGCTCTGATGGTATTGGGAGGCCTTCTTTAGTTTCTGTGGGAGCCAGACTGGGGAGATGGGGACACTGAGGGGTGGCCTGTGGGGAGACCCAGGAGTTGGTATTTGTGATGTCCTGGGTGCTGTGTGTGTGTTTGTTAACTACAGAACCCAAGCCAGGTGCAGACAGGGTGCCCCTGGGATCCCCCTTGCACCCAGGAGCTACCTGTGGGTGCTCATTTGGGCTGGGTGAAGAGCCCACGGTCAGCCGTCCAGAGCCTTGGATTCTCCTCCTGGCCTGACATTTTTAGTCCCATGACTTTGGACAAGTCCCTGAATCATTCTTGGCCTCCATTTCCTCATCTGTGAAATGGACACAGTAACACCTACCCTAGTTGCTTCATTGGGCTTCTGGATATACAGGGAAACATTCAGAAATACACAAAAACGAACCATTTTAATTTTGTTAGTAATACTGTCATCTGGTCTTCCTGGCTTTTTGGTGGAAAAAAAAAACCCAGACCATTTCTTATACATTTAGGAACGTAAACACTGCTCCCTTGAGGACTCCCTGGGGCCTTGGGAAGGCCCAGCTGGTCTCTGGTCTCCTCAGGGTTTGCCTTGTGTGTGAGCATTTTGTCTTATGTCCCACCGCTAGGAAATTCATAGTTTGATTATGGGCTTTGGGGACACCCCGTATTAGTGATACTTGTCTTTGTCAGCAGAACACCCATTGAGCACTTCTTATCTGCACAGGCTCTGGGCTGAGTACCTCCTCCGTGTGTACTTCTCATATCTGCAGAGTGACCATGTAGGTCGTTACTGTTATCCATTTTCAAATGCACAGAAACTCTGCAAAGCAAAGAAACTTGCTCCAAATTGTAAAGCAGATGCACGAGCTGATTCCCAGAGGCTATTGGCCTACAGAGAGCCTGGTGGTACTGTCATAACCAGAGTCACAGCCCCATGCCAGGCTCTCCTGTGCAGGGTTGGGGCCTCAGGGAGGAGGTAGTCTTCCCAGCAGTCGGCGGCTCTGGGAGGGAGAGCTAGCTAGACCAGAGGGTTGGACTGTGCGCCCTTGGCCAGTTCCTCTTTGAGGTTGGGTTGGGCAAATTGCTTGGATTAGGATGAGAGGCTCTGGTTTCTTTATTCTCGGTCCCCATGGAAGGTGCCAGTATTGTGGAAGTATGGAGATAAAGTTGAATATGTAAAAATTAAAGATAAGTCTTCAGTAAAAAGTTCTCTTCCCATTAAGAATTTACCACGTTAGCCAGGCTCAGTGGCTCAGCCTGTAATCCCAGCACTTTGGGAGGCCAAGGCGAGTGAATTGCCTGAGCCCGCAGGTTTGAGACTAGCCCAGGCAACTTGGCAAGACCTCATCCCTACAATAAATAAAGCAATTAGCCGGGCATAGTAGTGCATGCCTGTAGTTCTGGCTACTTGGAAGGCTGAGGTGGAAGGATCGCTGGAGCCTAGCAGGTTGACGCTGGGGTGGGTGGCCATGAGTGTGCCACTGCACTCCAGCTTGGGCAACACAGTGAGACTCCAACTCAAAAAAAAAGAATTCATCATGTTCAGTTGATCTCAAAGGTGACGTGAGGACCAAAGTGAGGCCCAAAACTTACCTGTACAATTACCATTTATATATTTAATCCTGAGTTGCACCCCACATCTTTAAAAAAAGCAAACAGCTGAATAAGAAAAAAAGAATTCATCGTGTTCAATCCACGTGTCCATTGACGGATGGACAAACAAAATGTGGTCTATTCATACAACAGAATATCATTCAGCCTTAAACGGGAAGGAAATTTCGACACCTGCTACAACATGGCTGAATCTTGAGGCTATTACTCTAAGTGAAATAAGCCAGTCACAAAAAGGACAAATATTGTGTGATCCTATTTATATGAAACACCTAAAATAGGAAATTTATATAGACGGAAGGTAGGTTGGTGTTTGCCAGGGGCTGAGAGGAGGAAGAATGAAGAATTAGTGTTTAATGGGTGCAGAATTTCAGTTCTGGAGATGGATGGTGGTGATGGTTGCACAGCAGCGTGAATGTACTTAGTGCCACTCAGCTGTGCATGTAAAAATGGTTAAAATGGTAAGTGTTATGTATGTTTTCCACAATAAAAACGAATTTGTAGTGTTTGCAATACCATGGCAGAGTCTGTCTGCAGACAATTGGCCGCATCATTTTTATGCGTTGATTGCAGTAGGCCTAGCAGTTGGCTGACCTGTCTATATGTAAAACAAACCCATCCGCTTTTCTCTAAATTATTCAGAAATCCAGACTCAACCCTGCCTCCCGCTGGCCTGTGGCCTTCAGACTGAGGGAGAGCCGACTGAGAAATCTCTACTTGGTTACCCTTTTTCCAGTATAACTCCTTTTTAAAGAGCCCTGTTTTCCTAAAGCCTATAATTATGTTTGCCTCGAGGGTACCCAGGATTTTTTTTTTTTAATAAACAAAGAGTATCCTACAATTATCATGATGATTTGTTGAGGGCAGGCCAAGTTCAGACAGGAGGCTGACTCAACTCTGGAAATGGACGCTTTCCATCCTGGGGGCACCCGCCCGTGCTCGTGGGTTCGATCATTAATATTAAGAGCTGGAGCATGAACAGGTCCACAGAGATGTCTGCTTTCTACAGCCAGCAAGATGGGACAGGCAGCTGGGTGGGATTTGGCCTCCTGGAGGGCCCTGCCTGCGCAGATGGCTGCAGGTAACTGTTCCCGGCCTGTGTGCCTGCTGCATGCGGACCCTGGGACAGATGCCACCAGAGCCACACGCAGGCGAGGCCAGGAGGGGCGAGAGCCAGCAGAGTCAGAGCCTGTTGCTCTGTCAGCCCTGATTTGAGGGGCCGAGCCCAGTTTCGTGGCCCTGACTGTAATCTCCCCGAGTTCAAAGAGCGCTTAGCTGCTTGTCTTTGTCAAGAGCGCAGTTGGGGATCTTTTATATGGAAGATGTAGGATCGGCGGGTGGACTTTGATTGCTTATTCACCCTCCTTCGTGGGCGTGTGGTAGCATGGGCACCGCCGAGCCCTTGTCCTGGCTGCTCTTGCTATGAAATTCATTGAGCTTTCAGGCCCTTAGAAGGCGGCTTTTCTGGGGAGGGCCAAGTTTTTGAAGTCCTGTTTCTCTCCCCGCTCCACAGTGCCGCAGCACCTCTTGCCGCCCTTCCACGCGCCCTTGCCGATTGACATGCGCCACCAGGAGGGGAGGTACCATTACGAGACTCACTCTGTCCACGGCGTGCACGGGTAAGTCCTGCCCTCTGCCTGCTGCTCCCGGCATGCTGTCACCTGCCACCGGGAGCCGAGGCCGGCAGCCTCGGCCTCCTCTACTGCCTCTGTCTGTCTGTTGGGAGCTCCTGATCCGTCCTGACTAAATGTTCGCCTTTGTCATCCATAAGTGCACAGACCTGGGACCCTGTGTGAGGGTGGATGGGCGGCATGTGAACACCAGCCCCGCTCTGCTTCCCGTATCACTTCCTTTTTTTTTGAATTGGAGTCTCCCTCTGTTGCCCAGGCTGGGGTGCAGGGGTACACTCACAGCTACCCTAGCGTCGAGTTGCTGGGCTCCTTCCGCCTCAGCCTTCCAAGAAGCAGGAACTACAGGCACGTGCTACCATGCCTGGCTGATTTTTGATTTATTGTAGAAACGAGGTCTCACCACATTGCCCAGGCTGGTCTCGAACCTGCGGGCTCAGACAATCCACTCGCCTCGGCCTCTCAGAGCGCTGGGATTACAGGCTGAGCCACTGAGCCCGGCCTCCACATCACTTCTAAGGCTCTGGGCTTCCTTGGTGGGTCCTTACGTGGTTTGAGGCTCTTTACACATCCATGAAGTGGGAATCCCCTCCAGGCCTAAGAGCTCATATAAGTAAGGTGACCTTAGGGTGATGTTGTCCCAGCATAATAGTTTGAGCACCCCTTTTGCTTCTTCAAGTGCCCCCATTTGAACAATAAATTATATAGTCGTGCTATTTATTATTATTATTATTATTATTATTATTATTATTATTATTATTAGAGTCAGAGTCTTACTCTGTCGCCCAGGCTGGAGTGCAGTGGCATGATCACAGAGACCGCAGACTCTACCTCCTAGACTCAGGCGATCCTTATGCCTCAGCCTCCTGAGTAGCTGGGACTCCAGGGCTTCGCCACCACAGCCGGCTAATGTTTTGATTTATTGGAGAGACAAGATCTCACTGTTTTGCCCAAGCTGGTAGTCACGTCACTACTAAAAACAAGTTAAAAGTGACGCTTTGGGGTCCCTTCCTATGTTCTTTTTTGAGGTCCCGGGCAGAAGGGATGTGTTCAGCAGTGCAGTCTCCATCTGCCCAACCCTGTCCCTCTTCGTTCCCAGACGGGCTCTCAGCCGCAGCTGGTGTCAGTGTTCCTGGCCTTTAGGCCTCAGAAGCTCAGCTCCTTGTCACCACATCCATTTTCCTTCCAGAAGCGAGCCGCCCCCTCCTCCCTCCACACTCTCTGCTGTTCCCACACCTTTCTCCAGGGGAGCCTCTGCAGAGAGTCAGCTGGCCCCAAGGCCCCTCTTGAGCCAGTGCCTTCGCAACACCCTCTGGCCCCGCTACCTATCCAGGCCGAGCTGCACACACAGCCCTGCCCATGCTTCTGTGCCTGGCCTCTCCTGCCTGTCCATCGTGCCCCCTAGCCAGCCCCCCTAAGCCTCAGCAGGGGAGCCCCCTCCTCCTGGGGGCACTGTGACCCTCACACTGCGCGGGGGCCCCGATCCGGATGCACGCCAGAATTCTGTTTTCACACCTGCCTCCCAGCAGGCTCTGCCCTCCCTCTCATGTCCGTGTCTATAACAGCTGGCACGTGATGGGTGCACAGTTAGTGCTTGCTGAGTGGGGACCTTCTCCCCACATGCCACCTGGTGAACACAGACCCTCCTGGCTCTCCCCTCTCCCATTCTGAGGAAGTCAGCGAACCCTCGGTGAGCTCTCGCTGTGTTCAGAGCATCGTGCCGAGCAGTGACCTGGGCCAGGGCATCCTTGCCTCTCCAGGACAGGGCAGACCTGGTACTTTTATTTTCCCCTTCAGAATATTTTCTGGGCAACCCCCTTGGGTGCCTTCCCACTGTGGGAGCTTTTCTGTCCTCTCAATACATCTTGCTTGCTATATATATAAAATTTTTCTGCTTGTTAACATTCTACTTGGAAATAATTTCAGTTGTACAAAAGTAGTTGCAAAAATCATTTTCTGTTCACCCTTCCCCCAGCTCCTCAAATGTGAACATCGTACATAACCCAAGACTGATAAAGATATGAGTCCGCTGATCTTACTGGAATTCAGTCAGTGGCTCGCGAGTGTCTTCTTCCACTCGGTTTGGGATCCGGTCCTGGTTTCTGCCCTGCATTTGGTATTGTGTCTCCGTCGTCATCTTTAATCCAGGGCAGCTCCTCAGACTCTCTCTGTCCTTTGTGAGCTTGACAGTTCCGAAGAGTTCTGGGCAGTTACTGTCTAAAATGTCTCTCGCTCTGGGCTTGCCTGCCGTTGCGTCACAGTGACAGTCAGATCCTGTGTTTTGGAGAGTGATGTAACAAGAGTGGCACGTGTCTCCTCCAGGTGTCCTGTCAGAAGGCACATGATGTCCATGCTTCGTACCGCTAGAAAGGTTGATCACCTGCTTATGGGTTGTCTGCTGGGTTTTCTTCACTTTAGAGTTGTTCCTTCTCTAGTGAACAAGTGCATTACAGGATAATACTTTGGGAATATGTAAATATCCTGTTTCTTGTTTTATTTCTACCCACTAACTTAAACATCCATTGGTGGTTCTGGACAGAAACGGTCATTACTAGTGTTTGCCAAATGGCCATTTTCTGTTTCCATCATGCCTTCTACGTTTACTGATTGGGATTCTTCTGTAAGGAAGAGCTGTCCCGTGTTGTGCATTTATTTATTTATTTTATTATTTATTGGTATTCACATAGATGCACGTACATTTGTGTTATTCTATGGGTTGTACCCTATTGTTATCGCCATTTAGTGTGGTGTTCAAATTGTCACATACTTGGCCATTGGGAGTCCCTTCGAGTTGTCTTCTGTGTCCTTTTGACAGTTCTCGCTGGGCGACAGCCTTGTGTCCACCTGCTGGGTGATGGGGCGGTTTCCGCCCTCTGCTCACCTCTGGGGCCCCTTCACCCACAGGTGGCTGAGACTGCAGCCCAGGCAGCCTCGGGAAGATGCTTATGTGTGCCACTAGGTGGGCCACCCAGAATTGCTCAGTTGGTGGCATCTGAGAATCCTGGGAGGATCCGGGGAGCTTGGTCCTGGGGATGGGCAGGTTGGTGTGACTGAGTTCCTGCTTGTGGGACATGTTTGGCTGGTTCAGTGACACAGATCCTGAACATAGCAGCCCTGTCCCAAAGTGCTTCCTGCATGGGCTCCCGTTGCTGACGGCGAGATGTGGGTGGTACTGAGAGCTCCGTGCAAACAGAGTCCATGCAGGCGTGTATTGCTCTGCATGGTTAATGTCCTGGCTACCATCTCCCCAGCCTCGATGACTGCCATTCCTCCTCATAGCTGATCTTGTGAGCAGACCCCACGGTAAACACTTTATGTCATTTAATCATGTCATTTAATTTATTAATCCAAAATATAGTTGTTTCAGGTCCTCCCCATTTTACAGATGAAGAGACTGAGGCAGCACAGAGAGGGTAGATAGCTAACCCCAGGGTCTCCCACTTAGGGAGGGGGAGAGTTAGCAGTTGATTCATGGCCCCCTGAGCCCAGGCCCTCAGCCACATGCTGGTCTTTCTCTTGGAAGCGTACGTATGGACCCCAGGTCCCTCTGGCGGTTTTAGGCGGTCCCTTCGTGACAGCACATGCAGCCCATTGTTAGGGCATTACCCCAGCTCAGCGGGCCCCAAACCTCTGGCCCAGCGGCATCCTCATCCCCTGGAAGGCTGTTGGGGCTCACGCCCCAGCCAGGCCTGCTGCATCCGTCTCTGCGTGGGGCTCACATCCATGTTTGACACATCCTCCAGGTGATGCTGCGGCAGGCTCAGGCTTGCGAGCTCAGGTTGCAGGCAGAGCCCGGCCACCAACGCCGCTGAAGAGGAAGGCCCTTGATGCTGTCCCTCCCTGGGCAGATGGGAAGCCCGGGCCCATAAGCGGCCTGGGTTTTCTCCAGCCTCACCCTTCTTCAGCTCTGGGTTGGGCCCGGACGGAGGGGCAGCTGTGCACGAGCCCCTGGAGATGGAGGCTGTGGGTGCTGGCAGCCAGCAGGAGTGGGCAGCCTGACTGTGGCCTGTGGAGACAGCCTTGCCCCTGCCCGGCCTACACGGCTCTTCCACTAGCCTGGACACCTGAGGAGTGGTGTATTTGTTTCCTATAGCAGCTGCGACAAGTTACCGCAAACATGTGACTTAAAGCAGCACAGATTTCCTCTCATATAGTTCTGGAGGACGGGAATTGCAGGTGGGTCTAACGGGGCTACAGGCAAGGTGTTGGCGGGTGGCTCCTTCCGAAGGCTCCAGGAGGGAACCATGCCTTGGGCTCTTCTAGTTTCTGGAAGGCTCCTGCGCTCTTTGACTTGCAACACCAGCCTCACCCCCTCATTACCTTTTCTGCCCTGCTTCGTCCTCACAGCACCTTCCTCCCATCTGGGGTAGTTTCTTCCCTCTGCCTCGCCCTTCTAAGGACACCTGCAGTCGCCCCTTGGGGCTCACCTGGATAATTGAGACTCATCTCCCATGCCAGGATCTTTAAGGTCTTCACATCTGCCAAGTCCCTTTTACTATAGAAGGTACCATTTACAAGATCCAGGAATTAGGACGTGGACACCCTTGGGGGCCACTTTTCAGATTATTTGGAATCGCCAAGCCCCAGTGGGGAGTCTGGCCTCACCCAGTAGAATGCAGTAAAGCATGGCAACAATTTGCATGGGTCTACAGCCGGCTAGGCACAGCCCTGGAGGCTGGTGTGCCGTCCTCATTAATCTTCTCAATTGCCTTGTGAGATGGGGTTTAAGCACCCTCTTGCAGATGCAGACACGGAGGCTCAGAGAGGTACATGACTTTCACACATTACCCCTGCAAAGTGGTTGCTTCCACAAGGGCTGAGGAAACCCAGGTCTGGGTGCAAATCCCTCCCCAGGCATGGAGGGGCAGTCTGGTAAACCCCAGTGACGGGCAGCAGCAGGGTGTTCCCAGGACCCTCACCCTGTCCTGGGTGGACTTCTGGCAGCTCCACATTATCCTGGGGACAGTTGATCCCTGCCCAGGCCAAAGGAG